AGCATTTGCAGTTACCTTTACACAGAGATTGGCACAAGTCACTTTTTTTAAGTCCAGATCAAATCCCCAGAAGTTCCAGTCAGCTGTCTCATAGTGACAATAAACAGATTTTGAAAAAATGCAGTCATTGAATGCAGGGCTCTGATAATTGAAAACGTAGTGAGTAATCAATTCAACATGTGCTACACTGAACTGCAAAGAAAGTGAAACACAGTGCATTAAGTCTCATGGCCAGAATAGCTGATTGTAACAAAAGTCTCTCATATAAAGAAGAACATCACCACTACACTTGTGGTTTGGGATTTTAGGTCTATAACCAAAAATTTACGGCACCCCTGGGTGTGGAGCCCCCTGAGCTATACCCTGAATCCGCCCCCTAACAGCTGCATATCTTAACTGTAAGCAGCTCTTTGACCTGCCATCTTTTGGTCAGTTTCATTGTTTCTTTCTGTGTCTGATCTTTGTGGGGAAACTCATCAGTAGGACCCGATTGACAGATGATTCATGTGTAAGCGATCAGTCGCACTAGAAGTGAAAGATTGCACATGATAACAGGGGATAGTATTGAGCTTCTTATGTTGTTAATAAGACAAAATTATTTTAAAAAAAGTTTGTTCACAAGTTAGAACTCCAGTCTCTGAGGCTTGGATACAAGTCAAGTCCAAAAACCTCTGATGCAACTAGAGTCCAACTGGAGTCCACGTCTGAAACTCATCTGCCTCTGTTTCTTTTTGAGTCAATGTATCAACAGTTCTTCAATTTATGTGATATTTCCATCATGCTTCAAAACCATGTATGGCTGGTCAAGGCTATTCTGACACTAAAGAACTCTGGTCAAGTTTCCTGAAAAGGATCACTTTACTATTTTAGGCAGACGTCTTATCTAACAACTCTTAGAACATATGGACTGCACTGATGACTGATAATGTTTGCCATGAGAGTACTCACAGTATGGAAGTTTACAGGAGAAGCCTTCATTTAATGTCTTGTTAAGCTTCTTCAGAAAAAAAAGTCCTTCTTGGATTGGTTTTCTGATTGGGTTATTCTTTTTCTCTGTGTTTTTAATTGCAATCTGTTTCGTTCATAGTCGACTGTGTCATCTTGAGATTGACTTTACAAATATAGTTGTTATTTTCCATAGCATTTTTCAGACGTAACAACAGAGCTCAAAAACAAATCATTTTTCCTCACTGATGAAGTGGATCGAATTACAAATTTAGATAGAGACATGAATTTATTAGCAAGCAGACAGCTGAATATGAATTCACTCAATACACAGGCTGAAGATAAAATCCATTTTCTTTCCCACAAAGAGAAACTTGTCAAGCATTTCTAAAATATGGGGAACAAACAGCACACTTTATCAATTTACAACGGATACATATACAGAAATAATGGAGAGTGAAGGCAGTTGTTTCATGAGGAAAACATCATCAATTGAATTTCTGTTTTTTCACTGTGTTCATCTTAAGTTTTTGAGCACCCAGTCAAACCTTCATTTGTTCATGGGAGGATATTGACGTGTTCATCATTTCCTATGTTTTCAGTCCATCACATGAACACAGAAATCAGCTACAACAGTCATGGTTTCAATCCTAGTGCTATCAGAGCCCTCAATCCTGCCAGAAAAGAAAGACCATTAATCCCAAAAGTTTGTTGAGGGCATGGAGAACTTTGAGAGCCAGCTAATCAGTACTCAGTCTAACAGTTTCTATATTGGCACTCCAACAAGTTTGTCACGGAAGAGGTAGTATGCCAATGAGGGTCTTGAATTTGAATTGATAACAGTTTTTGTTGTGGTGCTGTTCTGGGGATAGACTTGGGATGTTTAGGGTCACTAACTGCTAGACTACAACCAGATTCTCTGAGGAAAAGTATCACTTTGGACCACTAGTATTGGTTAAATATCACCAAGGTGCCACATGCTTGTTTGAAGGAGAGAAAGGGAAAGACTCAGAGGGACTGTCACAGCCAGATTTATATGGACCAGAGATTTGAACCATAATACTGTGAAGAAGATAAAAGTGGTGAGAAATTACTGCAGCTCTTGAAATCCCCAGTGAGTATATTTCACCTCACCAAGTTAACCAGTCGATTTATTGCCTCCCCCTCATGTTTGTTTTTGGAGATGGAAAGAGTGTTTTTGGTTGTTGTCAATCTCCCATGGCCACAAACAGTCTGATGAGCATTAGAAAGACTGTGAAAATATTCAACATATTAGATTTTGTGATGAAACCAGGACATGGGGGAGACAGAGAAACACATGGGAAGCCTTCGGTAAGCAGCCTGAGAGGCCTGATCCTTGACACCGTGAGCCTGTTTGTGTTATAAAGGGGTTACTGAAAATCTTGCTGAGGAAACAAGCTCTCAGCACATGTTCTACTTCACTGTAAATGTGTCCATCTTTAAATGGACACATCCAAAGCCAGCAAAAGAAATGTAGAGTTAAAAGATATCTACTCTGGTTTTAGATTAAAAAAAAAGAAAAACATCAGTTATTTCCAACACAAAGGACCTGATCTACTAAAGGTTTGCGTGTGCAAAAATACATGCAAACTTGATAGCGCGCTCAAACCTTATCTCCTACCCGGGTGCACCGACAGTAGATCATCTGCAACATGCCCACTAATAGTATGTGCAATAGCATTTTTAGTTTGCACACACAATTTAGCGCCCCTTATTTGGGATCGTAGTAGATCAGGGCCTTACATATTGGTGGGTACACCTGAGATCAGTGAAAACCCTGTATAAAAAAAGGTCAACCTCTGGGTATTAGGTATGACATGAAATGCAAAGAAGTTAAGTCTGCTCCTATTCAGGTCTGAGATACTTTCTTCAGGCCCCAAAACTTTGTTATACTTGCAGGCCGGGGACTCCAGACAGTGCAACTTACTCATCCAATATCCAATTCAAAGTGCTCTGAAAATAATTAACCAGATGCTAATACTTGTATCAGGAGAGACGGTTTAAAGTTTCTTCCCATGCTGATGTTTTGCTTTCTTTGCTTGACTGCTACCAGACGCTTCCTTTGCTTTGTGGATTCTATTAGGACACAGTCATCTGCATCGCCAAGAGACAACTTTTTAATTCAAGAGGCTCAAAATTAACTATGTATGTTAATCACCATTACAGGTACATAACTGAGGACTCCCTTTGAAGACACCACACCAGATGCTGTCAAGGAAATACTAAATTCAAGAACCTTAGTGAACTTGAAACAAGTTGAACTTTTAGACTTTGACAAAGTACACAGGGATTTTAGGTGGCCTCCTTCACAGTTTATATGTTTACTCAGGAAAAGTGCAAGGTAACTGATGAATTGTGAGGTAATTTGGAGGTCTGTCTTGAGGCAGTTGGAGGTAATATGGTCAATAAACCCAAAGTAGTCCACTTCGGGCAGCAGATGTACAGTATGTATATGTGTATGTAGTATGAATTGATTATCAGAGTACTCATCGATTAAACTAGTTTTGCTTATTCATTTATCTATAGTTGTTTATTGTCAAAGTGGTGTCTAGGTTGTAGCACTCTCAACTGCTTTTTGATTAATGACAAATACAGTCATGCTCTAGATGTAAACAAGCACAGATAACAGACAGCCTCTCTTGGTGTGGCATGGCAGTATTTTACATTTGCAGAATCAAGATTAAATGTAATGTCAGTATAGTCTGGTTAAATTAACATATAACCACTCAGCCTGAGTAATGAATAACCAATGGACATTAACCTGTAAGGAAGCTTGGGGTATTCACTCTGCTAACATCAGCCACACCCAGCAAACATTGTGCTCAATTTTTAAATCCCAGAGGACAGATCAAACATCACAAGATTTTCACCTTGGAAACAAACGGACCCATGTGAACCAATAATATTAACCTTGCACTGTTTCACCTGAATATCTTTACATGTGTTATACATTGATTTCATAAGTACCTAGTCTCACATACTGAAACTTTTAGGAGAGTCTCTTACGTCATGACCTCTAAAACTTATGTTACACCTACCTTGTCTGGACCCCTTACAGTAACATTTAGGAATCAGACTTTTGGAGAAATGTAACGGGAATGCTTTGTTACAGAATCAGACTGTAATTTCACCAGATAACACAGGCTTGAACACAGAGGAGAGGCCCCATGGTTGTGCTTAGAGGTGAAGTTAGATCTATAAATAAATCTATAGTGTGGGGTCCTGCTGAGTGGGGTGTGCCCTGGTGTTGTTGCTCTGTGGGTTCTCAATCCCCAGCTTTTGTTTTTGCTCGGTTTCCTTGAAGTCTGCACGGTAACAGAGGACCATCGCAGTGCCGGGGGCAGAGGGGCAGCAGTTCAAACCTGCTTTGAACCCTGACTTATTAATTTGTAGTACAGCTCTGTGATGTGCACATGCTCTGTGGTCCTGCTCGGAGACATGCACAGCTATCACACTGCTACATCTGTGACAGAAGCTTTTGATGGCTCAGAGAGTGATTGAAGACCACCAAAGGTTCATGTTAAAGACCTGCAGGGATAAGCCTCCCCAAGGTGCCTGCATCCCTCAAAGCAAGTCTCTGTGTGTCTCTTTGTCTTTGTCTCCATCTGTGAGTCTTCATCTCTTTCAGATATTGTTTTGAAAGTTCTGCAACTGGACTTTTGATCTCTGCTCCATCTCAGTCTGAGACAAACACTCCTCTGTATGTTGATTAAAGTCAACGGTGTGTTCAGGGCTATCACGATACACTGCTAACTATCCTTTTAAAGCAAAAGGAAATCAGCCGAGTTGATTGAAGTGTCACAGAACTTGTGCCAATCTACCTAATGATGTTTTTATTTTGACATTTACTGTCTTGTCTTACCTTCACTTAGTATACTTGGATGTCGTTATTGTGAATTTCCTTGGCCACCATAGCTGAGAGGTGAAAATGTGTCTAGACAACCGAGAGTCATATGCCACATAAGCGCGTAATATGAGATGTAATGTAAGGTCGCTTTCACACCTGACCAAGCGGACTCAGTTCGATTGGGGAGCTGAAAGTCGTAACATTGTCGCATTCATCACTTGTTTCGGTTCTGCTTTCACACTGTGATTTCTAAAGCGCACCGAACTTTCCGAGCAGCATCACGTGGTTGAAAGGGGCGCTCGTCGATTGGACAAAGTAGGAGGGGTATGTAACCTCACGGATTACAAACAGGGGTGGACTAGCCGTCTTGTATCGTGCTTCGTCACATTATTTTATGGAATGCTACAACGTTAGTGAACGCAACTGTTCCTATAATGCTATCGTAGCTTGTCAGGGATTGATCCTGTTATTTTTCTAACTTTGACGATCTAACATGTGACAACATATGAGCTCAGAGTTTAAGGACTGTGACTGTTGGTAGTTGTGATTTGATTTTGTTTAAATATGCCAAATTGTGAATTTATGGGTTATTGTTGTTCAGACAATTGAGCTAAGCTAGCTAGCAACTGCTAATGTCAGCGGTCACTTGTTGCCATAGCAACAAGGGACGCTGTGCTTCCTCTACCAAAGATGCACTGCGTATAGCATCATTACGTACATTTGGTTCTGTGTTTGGTCCAATGAGCTTTCACACTGCATACGAACCGAACCAGGGTTCACTTGCAAGCGAACCGAGACCCACATTTTCAGGCGGACCAGAGTTTGCTTGTTTGGTCCGCACCAGAGTTCGCAGGAGCTTTTACACCTGCCCAAACGAAGTGGACTATCCGAGGAAATGAACTCTGGTCCGTTTAAAGCGGACCAAACAGCTCTGGTGTGAAAGCGACCTAAGTGACCTTTCCTCATTGAGCAGTGTTTTGTGTTTTGTGTGTCTGTCATCTTAATGTGACAACAGAGCAGAATCTTGTCACATTATGTGCGGCAGGATGAAACAGTGTTCCTACAACAAAGCTCAGTCCAGGTTCTTGTGAGTAATACAAAGCGAGCAGGAGAAACCCGTTGCCCATGTTGCCTTTCAGACAGATTCAAAAGTTGCCCTGTGTATCCATCTAATGAGTCACTGAACAGTGCTATAATATGGCTGTCTCACAAATCCTTCCTCCATGCACACTGATCCAGCATGCAAGGGTTTGAGCTATTATTGCATTCAATCATATTCTGCCCCAGGCCGGAGCTTTAAGAGCAGCTAGAGAATATATCTAAGACTCCTCAGCATTTGGTATCCAGCCTGTAGACAGGGTGAAAGTGGAAAAGCCTGTACAGAGAGAAGTGCAATGAAGGTCCCTGACACAGCATGATCTGATCTAAGAGCTAAATGATAATGTTTTTTCACTGTTTCTGCACAATTATGTGAAGAGGATTTCCTCAGATCTCTTTTCTTAGACAAGAATGTTGGAACTTCTCTTAACTGCAGAAGTTCAAATGCCTTCTTAATGATGTCAGATACTTTTTTAACACAACTTGGTGTCTTATACTTGTGCAAAGAAGGTAGCTTCCTGACCCACCTGCATGAGATCCTCCAAGCTTGTAAGTGTCTCCAGTTAAAGCCCACCCACAGTGATAAAGAGGGCTGCAAGGTCATAAAATACTGAAAATTCTTACAAGCTAGAGGGAGCACAAGCCTCAGTTCAACGGGATTAGAGAGCTAAAAAGATATAAAATTATCAGAAATATCTTGCACACAACTACCACTCTTCTTCTTTTGTGTGGCCATTGAGTTAAGCAGAAAACACAATTTGGGTATTATTTGTGCATTCTGTAATCCCACAGAAACACATGTGGAAGATGGTCAACCTACATGTACAGTGGAAGAAATAATTATTTGATCCCCCACTGAATTTGTAATTTTGCCCACTGACAGACAAACTAACAGTCTATATTTTTTTGGGTAGGTTTATTTTCACAGTGAGAGATAAAATATCAAAAAGAAATTTCAGAAAGTTACATTTTATAAAATATATAAATTGATTTGCATTTCATTGAGTGAAATAAGTATTTCATCCCCTACCAACCACTAAGAGTTCTGGTTCCCACAGAGTGGTTAGACACTCCTACTCAATTAGTCACTCTCATTAAAGACACCTGTCTTAACTAGTCACCTGTATAAAAGACTCCTGTCCACAGAATCAATCAATCAAGCATACTCCAAACTCTCCAACATGGGAAAGACCAAAGAGCTGTCCAAGGATGTCAGAGACAAAATTGTAGACCTGCACAAGGCTGGAATGGGCTACAAAACCATGAGCAAGAAGCTGGGAGAGAAGGTGACAACTGTTGGTGCAATTGTTCGAAAACCATCAATCCATCTCGACCTCGGTGTGGGGCTCCACGCAAGATCTCAGCTCGTGGGGTGTCAAAGATTCTGAGGAAGGTGAGAAATAATTCTAGAACTACACGGGAGGAGTTAGTTAATGACCTCAAAGCAGCTGGGACCACAGTCAACAAGAAAACCATCCGGCTGTTAAGCGTGACGTCATTTTGTGAGCGGAGCGACTTCCGGGTCCATGGGGAATCAGACTCCATTCACTTTCCATTCAAAACAACGATGGCGGAACCGGTGAATCTCTTCACAATAACCTCCTTTTTCAGAAAGGAACCACTTAGAGTAAAAAAGGGACTTAACGCTTTCAACTCGGGTAGAGTTATTCACGTAAATTTTCTCCCAGGGGGCATTATTAAAGGTAAAATCCAGGCGTCCATGAAAAAGAAAATATACCAGGCTGAGGTGAGTGAGCTGATAGGGTTAGCATTAGCTAGGTAATGTTAGGCAATCTGGCTTTTAATGTTATATGCCACGTTCTTTGGCGTTTCATTAGCCTTGGATAAAGACTGCCATTGCTTTATTTTATTTTATTTCTCCATCTTTATTTTATTGGGCTGTTTGCCAGTTACTGATTTATGGTAAGCTATAAACAGCAATGTCTAGGTTGGTGTTAGGGTCAAGTCGTATTCACTACAGGTGCATGTAGAAAGTCAGAAGGTGAGCTACAGCAGCTGCGAATGTCCGATCGGCAAGGACAAATGCCACCACATGGCAGCATTGTTGATTTGGGTGGAGAAAAATGTGTCCCGCACAGATGTGGAATGTGTGTGGAAGAGGGCGAAGACACCAAAATCAGATGATATTCTTGCCAAGAGAGTGTCTGTGATGACACCATCCACATCACAAGGTAAGTAATTCAAGTTAAATTGCATAATTTGTAGTGTACATACAGTAGTGTCCTTTCTTACTTGTGATTAAGAAGTCTTAATCACAATCAAGAAGAATGAATAATTTGATGATGCATTTATACTGTCATTTCAGCTGGTATCAAAACACCTGTAACCCAGGAGGTCAAGGATTGGACTGTGTCATCCTTGTCACAGCTCGGTCGTTTTACTGGCATGTGGTGGATCCTGAGTCCAGAGACAGCTCAGGTAGGCCTTCTTTCTTTTGGTGCCCCGGTGACAATTCAGCTAGGTTAAAATCATCCCAACATACTCAAATTGGTCTAATTTTTAATTAAATCAACAAATAGTTTAGGCCCATGACCAATTTGACATGATGAAAAGAACACAGTGTGTGTGTACAATGTGTATATAAATGTTGAATAATACATGTGTGCGTGAACTGTGTGCTTAACTTTAAATAAAGACACCCCCTATCAAGACATGGGATGGATTGGTGGCCTGTCCAGGTTTTACCGAAGCTGAGGACAAGGCTCTATATGTGTTGTCATCGCTTGCTGTCACTGATGCGGAGAAGCAGCAGATTGAGAGAGACACTGTTTTTCAAGCAAAGAACGACTTATGGTAACACTAACAATACAATACTAGACTCCTCACAATTTCTTGAACCTCTGTAAAGAAACTAGAGGACCAGTAAAATATGTTTGTTGGTTTCAAGATATTATGAAGTTCTGTAATACTTAGCCTTTTAGTTCTATATCAGTGGTTTTCAATCAGTGGACCATTAGCGATCCGTAACTCATAGGGTGTGTAAAATGTCTTGAGATTGTAAAATGAAACCATATGGGGTCGTACGGTTTCATTTTACACTCTCAAGAGTTAAATTATTGTTAAACATCTGCATTAGTTAATTTAAAGAAGTCTACACAATTAGAGATCGTAGAATAGTTGTTATTTTGATCAACCAGATCTCCTTACACATAAATACATGATGGAATTGTGACAAAATCTTATCCAATGATTAAAAAAAATCAAAATTTGAGTCAAAGAAGCTAAATGTCATCAAATGGTGGGTCTGTGGCTCAGATGCTGCATGAATTATGGGCCTTGGTATGAAAAATGTTGAAAACCACTGGTCTATATTAACAAAGTATTGTAGTTCATGTTAAAGCATTGAACATTTATGAGTGATTATAACAATACTGCAGTTTGAGCACCTAATGTGTCTATAAAACATCAAAGACATAGGATGCCTCGCTATGTGAACTGTATCTGGGTGTCTTTATAACAGGATGGCTTATCGCAAGAGACGAATCACAGCTAGCAATTTTGGTTTGGTCTTGGCAGCAGTCAAGCGCAAGCGGTACCCACCTTCCTTGTTCAAAACCCTGCTTGGCCAGTACAACTTCAAAGAAGCTTCTAAAGTAAGTAATGATGAAATAATGATTTCAACTTAAGATGTCATTGACTCTAACAAGTAACTTATGAACTGAGTGGTATGTTTTCCCTCCCTCACTTTCTCAAGGCAGGTGATTGGGGAATCACCCACGAACCACAGGCAAAGCAGGAATACACCGAGAAAACCGGGGATGTTGTCCAGGAGAGGGGGGTGTTCCTGTCAAACAGTGGCCTGCTAGGTGGATCTCCAGATGGGACAGTGTCTGATGAGTGCATTATTGAGGTAATGTTATATTTAGTCAATATACAGTATACTAGGTAACTAATCGAAAATAAAACTGAAACAGAGATTATGGGCCACCCTAATCTCAAATCCCACCGGGCACGATAACTATAAAGATAAGTAAACTATATTGTTCACCAAAATTTGTTTGTTTTTGTTCACCACAGAAATGCTCAAAGAAAGTAAGGGAACAAAGTGTTCTCCTTATTTCTTTGAGCAGTGTAGTGTCACATTATTCTGAGGCACCCTTGGGCTGGCTTCACGGCGCCCACTTTGGGAAACCCTGTTGTAGATAATGCTATTTTCAATAATACATATTTATTTTAAGTCATATGGACAAGCTTAGCTTTATTACTACCTGTCTTTACACGAAAAAATGGTCATATGTTTTTCATAACACCCACCTCTAGGTCAAATGTCCCTGGTCAACAAAAAATATGACAGTCCGGCAGGCAGCAGCAGAGAAAAGGGACTTCTTTCTGCAGTTGGATGCAGCGACTGATTCCCTGACACTAAAACAAACTCATCACTACTGGCATCAGATTCAGGGCAACCTACACCTGACTGGAGCCAGCACTTGTCACCTGGTTGTATGGACCCTTGCTGACCTTGTCCTTGTGCCAGTGGTGAAAGACCCAACTTGGGCTAGAAACATTGACATCCTGGAAACATTTTACAGAGATTGTTTCCTACC